TCTAAAAATTTTCCATAATTAGTTATCCATTGCTGTGGTTTAATAATGCTATGTTACTTGGAGAAGCTGAGGAGGGGATTTTAGTATCGTTCAGGCCAATGGCCGAGATTCTTTCTCCTATCAGGCGCCTCAGCTTGTGAAAGCGCCCATCAATACTGTCTAGGCTCGCCCTGTGACCATCGCACTCATCTATTGTTATGTCCACATACCCGTTTGCCCCGAAAAACCGCCTGTCACTACCCGTGCAAGTAAGGGGTTGATTGACGGATCGGATATCACGGAACTCCATTCAGAACCTCGGCTGGTTCCAGCATCACAGTCTTCGCGGCGAAGATCAAACAGTGGGCACACACACATTTTCATCAATGTCAACCAACAACGCCAAAGGGAGCGTAAGCTGCTGACCGCCTCCGCAGTTATCCCGCATCAGGCGGGCATCTGAATGTTTCTTCTTTTCTCTTTCACTTCCTTCATGGACGAGGATATTCTTCGCACAGAATATTAAAAAAAATAAAAATAAAGTAAATAAATAAATAAATAAATAAATAATAATTATAATTATAATTATTATTATTATTATTGTATGTCACTAGTTTTAGCTCCTTGTTATCTCAAACAACAGCTTGCCAGAGAGATATTCCGTGATCTTCCCGATTCCCGATACCCCCGCTTTTAGTTCCGCGGCTTTGCATGTGGGTTGGAGCTGCATGTCAGAGATTTTTCTGCAAGGATGTGTTTTCTTTTCACAGTCGGTGAAGTCACCGCTTTTCCATGAAGTGGGTGTATTCATTGAATACAAATTTTTTGAATCGGAAGGGAGGGAGGGGGGGGAAAGTACAAAATTAAAATAAAAATTAAAAAAAAAAAAATAAAAATAAAACCTGCTCTACCGGATCTCCAGCATCCCGCCCTATCTAGGGATCGTCTTTGTTCCATTCATGCCTCGTCCCCAATTCAATAAGCGCACTGAAATATTTCCGAGAAACGGGACTCGGTGGAGTTGCTAATCTCGGACACTGCTTCTCTTCTCACGTCAAGTTATTCCATCTCGAATTCAAAGTGGAAACCATTAAGTTACCACGCAATTTTCACTTTTCACATCAAGATCTTCATTATCAGGGTGTACATCCATGCTACTTCCACTAGACGCCGTTACCACCCTGAAACCTATTTCTGGTATACGACATGGTTCTTCTCGCTTGCTAAGTGCATGTTACGGTGATATTTCATGTCAGCAGTCCGCGTGTAAAGAACCATCTGCCACTTGCGGTTGGCTGAGATCTTGATGCTGGAAAGGGAAAATTGATTCCAGAACTGTGGAAGACCGTAACTTCTGCTGCAGAGAGTTTATAATTGCTATTCTTTATTGAGGAGCCTTTCACTTCGTGGGATATCGGCGGGGTCTCTTAAAATAATTAAAATGGAGGGAAGGGAGATATCTGTGACGTTCCTCCGTAGCAAACACCTATGTTTACAGTGGATAGTTATAATGTATAATAAAACTGGAAAACCCTATGAGTTTCCTTTCTCCTAGGCGCACCCAGCCTGTGATTGTGTAATAAATTAACGGGGTTTTCTCATATCACGGTGTCTCTCGATGGCTACCTATCCTACAGATGCAACCCGGAAAACCTTCCGGGTCTTCGGTTGAGGACTCTATACGGGGTCACTCCGAAGATCAAGTTTACAGTAAGGGAGACTTACCTAAGAACAGGTATCTAGTTAACTAACTAGTTAACTAACTAGTTAGTTCATATAAGATGACGATGGTATTAGAAGCTGGAAAAACGGGTTTTGCTTGGATATCTGGTCATGATAACTACATTAAGCAGCATGTTTTAGGGCTAAAATAGATAACTAGTTAACTACATGTTCGTAAATTTATATTTTATGCTCTCACGGGCGGGGTTAGCAAGTTAACTCGAGCAACCCAACAGACCGAGGAGTGTAAGTTAGCGGTGAACTTTTTCTTAACCAAAATACCACGCTTTTTTGAAGCAACATAACTGCCTCTCACAAGTCGATGAAATCGACTATTCTTACATCAACCTGGAAACTCCTAAGCAACGTTGGAACAGTCTCATCCGACTGATGTTGTGTTGTTGCGCCAACGTCACATACTTCGACTCGACGTGATCTAGAGTTTCATGCGACCATGCACTTAGACGATTCAATTACAGCAAAATTAAAAATGAACCTGCAAAATAACGATGAGTGTCGAGCCAGTTTTCTTTCAATCATAAATCTTGTCCCCAACCTAACTTCCTGGTTGATGCCTGTGAACGCTCTCCTTTGGATAGTTATGTACGCTCGTTACTGACACTCTGGAATAAAAACCCACTCAGCTTATGAAGCAAGATGAAATGAGGAGAAATATTAATTACATACCAGCTAGCTAGGAGGTAATTGTCATAGGGTCACATTGTCATTTCCTTGTCTTTAGCTGCGCCCCACGATACAAGTTCTATTGAGTCCCGGCAACCAGGTGTCCGCAAGCGACATCACCAAGTTATAGGCCTCCTCTTTGCAAAAGAGACCGCTCTCGATTAGAGCCCGAAGGTTTAATTTGATGACTGTTTACCTTCTTGCGTTTCTTGGTTAATAACTGATAGTGTACCATCCAAGATCCCAGCTCAACGACTCCGCGGTGACGTAGGCAGACTCCAGACCTGGAACGAATGCCCTGCAGCGACTCCGTTCGCCTCTCAATAACTTATAAGGGAGCTTATCAAGCTCTTGTTCCAGCCAACCTCCACATATACATATAGTGTGTCTTCTGTATATACATATATGCACATGTATATATATAACTATTTATTTAATGTATACAATGCATGATACCGTCGACCATGACGTAACTACACAAGCGCGGAGCGGGGATACCTCTACCGTAGGGGATCCTACATGATAGCCATCGATGCAGCAAGTACACGGCATTCTTAGCATGCCAGGTTGGTGCACTTAGGTTTATCCGAAACGTCGAACCTCTAATATCGCCAGACCACACACCCGATCCAGTCCGTCGGGTACCTGAACCAGATGTTCAAACCTTCCTTTTGCTTGCTGGCTGGTTTCGATCAATTCGATGTGATGGCCCATGAATGGGCCGTAAAGTCTATGTGCGGGGAGAGGCGGATGACTTGCGAGGCAACAAAACCTAGGGAAGATGTGACAAAGGACACCGACTGGCTGTTTCCTTTGACTATCGAACTGCCTTTTTGGAGGTTGGGTTCAGACCTCACCTGTAAAGCAGGGGATAATTGGCTTGTTTAGTGGGTGGGCGGCTGGAAGACAACAGAACCGAGCAATCTGAACCCTAGAGACTCCAGATGATACAGCAGCCACATTCTCGCCCAGGTTGGGTTGCTTTGCGGGTGGCGTTAATCTCAAACGTTGGAGTGACGCGGCGAATGATCATGAGAAGGTGTCTTTCTTCGTGGCTCATAGTTGACTAGAGTGATTGTTGGTCGTCTCAGGCTGGCCGTGCTCATAGCTCATCCACTGAAGCTTTACAAGGTCATGGTTGTTTGGTTCTAGGCATAGTGAGTAGTGAACAGTGAGAGTGTTATTCCGCCCTTCTCGCAATACCCTTCCTTGCTAGCAATGTACGCATGTTGAGGCTTTGACCATCCTACTTCTCTGTCTTCTTCGGGACGTCTTCAACTATATAGCTCATTGAAGACGAGGATTCAATTACGCTTAGACGGAGAGTTACATTATTATGTAAAGGCTATCCCTGTTCTCCGTTGATCCCCTCATAAGATATTGAAGGCGAGATCCATCTAGATTGCAGCATAAGGTTTAGGTACTTTATTTATATTCTATGGATCTACTGAACGTTAAAGACCTTGAGTCTGAGAAGAGCTTTTCTCCTGATTTGGATAGTCGATCAATACTTCAGGAGTCGATGGATACTACCTCCTTAAACAATCGGAGACGGATTCTCTGGACTCGGGCGCGTCAAAGGGCTGAGGATTCCTTGCCGTTAATGTTAATGTTTATTGTACATTTTCTTGAGGGGATCTGATCTGTCATCGCCGTATTCTCCCGTTGCCCAGTTTGTTGGAATTGGGACTAAAAATCTGTAACTGTCATATTCGTATGTTGGATCTTGTGTTTTACAACTGATTGCCAGCGATTGAGAAAATTATCAGCAACGATCGGCCAGCACTATTAAGTCTTATGGTGACACAGGCATTCATTATATCAACAATGACGACAATGTTTTGCTGAGTACTTGCTAGCCAATGTAGTTCGGGATGGAAAGCAAAGTCCAAGCTTGAGCGTCAAGAATTAGAGCTTGTCTCCACGGCACTGTGAGATTATATAGCCAACAACATATATTATGCAAAAGAAACCTGAGGTTCTACAACGGTTGCCCTCGCTTGTGTACCGAAAGTATACAGAGGTGATTCTGAGTACATCAGGCTCCGCAAGATGTTTTCGTGAGACATCCTCTGCTATTGCCTCACGGGCATTTCCCAGCCATTCTCTCTGCTAATTGCCTGGAATATAAAATCTAGGTTTCCTCTCCCTGCAGAACGGGCGCAGGAGAATGCAGAGAGCACAGGTTACATGAGCTTCTGTAAGCAATATTCATCATTCATGCGTTCGCGCGGCACGATCAGCTCATGAAATTCCACACGGCCAGTCCAACCCTCAAAAGGGTATGCATATTCAACTAGTGGAATGAACACACCTGATTTGCGTAACTGGGCAAATCCAAGAAGTGGCGGGGATGCCGTTGTTGGAAAAGCAAGGGCGAAAAAGAAAGAGCTGTCAAGGAATTATTTCCAGAAGTTGATGCAGAGAGGTGCTTGGAGCTACAACGGGATTGGGATGCTCCAACTCGGCATTTCTCCGCTATGGGGCTCATTCTAAATAACTAAGTTATCCCAGAACATAAAGAGCCGAGCGTGTCCGTTTCTCCAGGTTTGTTTACTACGGAAGAAATCAAGTACTTTCAGTCTTTGAGCTCAACATCTCATCTGTTATCAGTCATGAAACTTACCAGATTCCTTCCACAGTAAGTTTTAAGTTTTAATCATATCTTTCCCCTTGATGCTGGTATTCATTTGCGAAATAGGGCTGCTACAGAACGACCATTCTGGCTAGGGAGCCAGGCGGTACGCGGCTATTCCTCGGCAAAGAACGACAGTAGAATTCTTCCCTATAGCCGGCGGAATCTGTGGTCACTGAACCTCCAGGTGCCGGGCATTTCGAGGTACGTTTATCATTTGAAACTTTTTTGATAAATTCAGTAGGCCTGTTTTATGTCTTAGCAGGTGAAGTGAAAGTGAAATTACGAATATTGAAAATTCTTCGTCCTCTAGACATATACCTGCATCGCAATCCCACATGTCAAAATCCTTCACAATTATGACGAGCCACAAGAATAAGAACCTGCTCAATGCCAGCAACGGCAATAGTAACAGCAACAGCCTTGGAAATGGCGCTATCACAACGTCTATAACAACACACTCCTCCAACGCCCAAGTTGCAACAGTCACAGTCTCCCGCGCCGCCAAGCTGAACGCGATGAACAGTCACCTCCTCACAGCTCTACCAGCCGCTTTACAAACCCTGACAGCCACCCACCCGAATCTTCTCGCCATAATCCTCACAGGCGAAGGCTCTAAATCCTTCGTCGGAGGCGCCGATATTGCCGAGATGGCAAGCATCACGAACCCCGCAGAAGCTAGGGAGTTTATCAACAGAGTCCATGACGCATGCAAAAGCATCCGCGACTGCCCTGTGCCGGTCATTGGGCGCATTAATGGGCTCGCGCTGGGTGCTGGTTTGGAGATTGCAGCCGCATGTGACATCCGCGTCGCCAGTAGTCATGCGTTATTGGGCATGCCTGAAGTTCGAATGGGAGTACCGAGTGTTGTGGAAGCTGCGTTGCTTCCGGGATTGATTGGTTGGGGCCGAACAAGACTGTTGCTACTGCTGGGAGACAATATCGGTGCAAGAGAGGCGCTGGAGTGGGGGTTGGTGGAAAAGGTTGTGGAGCCAGAAGAGCTGGACGCGGCGGTCGCAAAGTGGGTAGAAAGTTTGGCAAAGAATGGCCTGGAATCGATGAGGAATCAAAAGGAATTGATTCGAAGATGGGAGCAGTTGGGGCTAAATGATGCCATTGAGGCTGGGGTTGACCATTTTGGGCGTGCCTTTGAGGCAGATGGAAAAAGTGTTTCCGGAGTTGATAGGTCGGAGACAGAACCAGGAAGAATGATGGGAGAGTTTTTAAGTAGGAAGAAAGGGAAGGGTAGTAAGTTGTAGCTAAGGTAGTGATCTTATGTCGATAATGACTGAAATTTTCTCTAATCAACAGATTCCTATCCTTGATCCTCTTTGGTCCTGTTGAATCCAGGAATCTCCAAGCTCTCAATGTTAAACCTCTAATGTTAAATATGTAGCTCTGATAAAAACCATTAGTCTCTGAACAGAACTTTCAATTGGAGCCAGTATGCTCAATATATCTTCTGTATTTATGCCAGTATCTCATCCTGATGGAAGTTGGGGAGGAAACAGTTGGAACCTATTGTTGGGAAATGTTACGGTTCTCACAACTTGATGGGCAGGGAAGATTGAATATTGAAAGATTGGAATTGAATAACTCATCTCATATCACCCTGTTCTATAAAACTTAAGGCCAAGCTTCTTTTCCTAAGCAAGGACAACATTCCTTGCTGCGTCTGTTCCACGGAGTTGCCTCCTTTTATCTGATCGTTCGTGAGCTTAACCAGTCCACTGAGTTGAGAGAATGACCACTTTGACGGGAGGGCTGTGAGCGGCCAAAGGACTTTATCCAATAAACAAAGCGAGGGCAGGACTCGGACCACCGGAACTCCAACACCATCGCTGGACGTTGCAAAGTTGTCCGGGAGAATAAATCATCCAGGTCTTACTGACCTGGGGAAGGTCGACCAAGGCTTGAAAGGCCAGATGAAAAAAGAAATAATCAATACAATTGCTTCACAGGATCTAGGGACATGATATTCAGGAGACAATTTGGGCAATTAAATCTCTCGTTTGAAGGCTGCAGGATATCCTGGGGGATCAAATCAGAGGTGTCCAAGCATGGAGTAGTTTCATTTAATTTTCATTCAAATTTCGTGTATCTGACCCGACATACCTGGGGAGAGCTCTTGTAAGCTCCAAGTCTGCCGTTAAATGTGATCTTAAGGAAGGGAAATGAAATGTCTGAGGGGATGTCCAGAAGTTGCAAATCGGCACTGCGTGGTGCGTTTACGATCCCTTTTTATAATGTAGAATATAGGGGGGATTTGTTGCACAGAGAGGATGATTGCTGGGGCAGTTATGTGCTGCCATTTCCTTAAGGGGCGGGGCATGTTTTCTGGTAATTCTCATGACTGAAGATATTAGTTACTAATGGAAATGAAGATGAAGAAAGATAGAGAAAGAAGGTAATGAGCTCAGGGGTTTGAATGTGTTGATGCGGATGTGGATGCGAATGTCACTTTGAGGTTGATGGAGGTAATATCACCACCAACTTGATTTCAACCTCTCCAAGGATCTTTTAGGGAGCAACAACAACCATTGTTGACTGCCAATACTTGCTTCATGGCTAAATATGCACCCCACCACAAGTCAATATGATCTCCCTTTTTTTTTGCGATGTTGATGTTTCCCTATATGTTGGGAAGGAAGATTATGTATGGGAATGGTTCTCCAGAGCATAAACGTAGTCTCCATTTCGACGAGAACGATGTTATATTTGGCCGATGATACACTTTTGTTGTGCATGTGCATCGAAATTGCAGCAATCGAAAGCGGAGATTCTGTTCCAACCATATCAGCTCAGGAGGTGACAAGTTTAAGCTATTCGAAAACCAACCGAGTTTCTTACCAAGTAGTTACGCCTTTTGCAACCAACAAGCAGGGGACGAAAAACGGGAAAAAGAAATATGTTACTCAAACATCGTCTTAATACATCAATTCTGCAACAAATTCAGGGGGTACTCGAATTCGGGGTTCCAAGGGACAAAATTTCGCCAAAAACAGATGTCCAGTTAAGGATGTATGTACAACGATAGTTGGTGTCGATACGGTGGGCCCCTTTTGGCGATGTACTTGGGCTAAAGGAGGAATATATATATCCAACGTTTATACATCGACGGAAAACGTGGAGTTAAAAAATCTCTGTCGCTGGACAAGGGTGTCAGTATGTTGACTGATCAAGATATTCAAGGAATTTATTTATATATTAAATGGGAACAAAAGGATGGGCATGCATTTACATGGGCATACATCAGAGATTACGGGCTCTCAGACAGGCATAGGAGATGTTGTGTTCTCTTCCTATTCCTTTTATCCCCGAATCTCTGATGTTTAGATCCACTGGTGCGACCTAGGGGCTGCGTATGTGTATACTGTTGCACAGCATATCAGTAGTTCTGGCATTGAAATGAGGTTTCTTGTCTCTTTTGCAAGAAATCTTTCACATGTTTACATTTATTGACATCGGTATTGATCGTGCAATGCGATATTTGAAGAAGAAAGAAAGGTTGTCAAGAGACAAGGAGTGACCGAACTACACAGAGTTCCCATGTGGGCGCTGGTCTCCTGATGCCGGCTGCCTTTGGACAGAGAGTATACGGCTCGATGTAAATAAAACCAAATGAGTATTTTTCTGCCAGTAGGGATCAAATTACAAGACTGCTACTCTCAAATAACAGTAAACTCGACGAACCTTGAAAAGAACATAGATATTCAAATCCTTTGCCATATAATATGATCTAGGAGAGCCTCTACCTGTTTGAGGGAATGAAACCTGATATGTAATTCCTAGATGGTAATAGCAGCTGGTATTGATGTTTTCTAAAATATCAAATTCCTCACAGTTCTCACAAATGGCATAGTGAGGGTATAGTTACTTTTACTTTTCTGATCCTTCATCAGTTATAAGACGTTGAGAGATCAATCTCCTACAGACATCTGAAAACTTCTTAAAGATCTTTCATAAGACTCCGCAATAGCTCATTAACTAATTATAAATGATACATTTAAGTAGATCATTAACTTCAGAAGTCTTAGAAGGAAGATAGATTTTTTTACTCATCTCTCAGAAGAAGGAAAATCTATATCATAATTGATGAACTGTTGCCAATGCTTACTCAGAAAGTGGCTGATGAATGAAGATATGTAAAGGCAGCAGAACTCATAGTGTTATTTATCAATTGATGACTAAAATAGATACATATGATGAATGAAGCTTAACACAATACTGACAGATGTCACACTAAGTGACCATAAGAGTAAGCTATCAGTTTGTGATCAGATCATGTCAGAATGTTTTCACTTTCTCTTTTTGCCTATTATATAAGTCTAAGCCATTCTTAAATCAAGATTATGCAGTTACAACATAACTATACCACACATACTCACTACCTCCTATTAGTAAGTATACTATATCATAAAAAAAATATTATTATAATTAAAATCTTTTTCTTATATATTTATCACCACTTTTTAAAAATTAATAACTACTACTATCATATCTAATAATATTAAATATTTAGAAAATTAAATTCAAATAATATTAAATATTATAAATTAAATTTAAAATTTTATATAAAACTTTATATAGATATATTAAGAAAAGAAGATTAAGAAATATAAAAGTTTTAATCAATTAAATATTAAATAATAGTTAGGAAGGAGTGATTAAGAAGTGAATTTATCAATTAAATAAAATCTTTTATCTTTCTATAGTTGAATATATTAAAGTTTCTATAAATTAAATGCTGAGTTATTATTATATTAATTCCAAAACTTTTTTTTTCTATTATAAGCAAGATGAGAGTATATTAATTTATAAAATATCTATCAGATTATAAAAAAATCAAATAGAAATCTATAAATTTTAAAATAGATGTCAAATGATAATATAAGCTTTATTATCAACTGATTTGATTACTATAAAAAAAAAAGAATTCATCTTCAATTAATAAAAGTTTCACATTAATGATATTTATAATTTTGATAAGATTAGATTTCCAGAAGAAGGAAAATATAGATAATAAGTAATATCTATCTATTAAGATATCAATTTCATTATATAGTTATTTTATTCATATAAATTAATAATAGTGATGAAATATATCAATATAGATAATATAATATTAAAGTTATTGATTATAATAAAATTAAAGATTTGTTTAAAAGATTAATATATATACTTTAATCTATTTAATAATTATATTATCATTATATTTAATACTGACTTCACTAATGATGAAATTGAACTTAAATAAATAAAATTTTTTAATATTGTCACTAAAAATATTAAATTAACAACTATTAATTATTACTATTTAATAATTATAAATTTTATTTTATTAAAAAGTTTTTTCAATATTGTAACTTTCATAATATTATTGTATTTGAATTCTCATTTTATATAAGTTATCTACTGCAATCTCTTAATGATGTATCTTTTTAATAATAAAAATATTATCATATAAAAGTAGTTAATGAGGCTGATAAGAGATAATTTCTTGCTAATTTATAGAGTATTCATTAACAAATCTTTAAATTTATTCTTATTAAAATTGAATTTATCAACTGAAAAATCTATTTAATTAAATAAAAAGTGATTTTTTAATATTTTGAGATAGTATAATATAAATAATAATCTGAAGCTGTTTGTTTATGATGATAATAAAGAATATTTTAATTTTATCTCACTTTTTGAAATTTAATTCTTCGTTATATCTTCTTAATTGATATTCTCATATATAGTTATAAAATTATATTGTCAAATTAAGATAATAAATAAAATTTATATAAGAAATAAAAAAAAGTTTTAATAGTTAATCTCTAACTTAATGATTGAATAAGATCTTCAAAAAGAGTTTGATATAGATAGAATTGAATATATATTGAGAGAATGTGATATTTACTCATTATATAATAAATATATACTGAATTATCAAAAACAATTATAGACAAATGCAGATAGAGAATGTTCTTACTATCAAAAATATCAATCACAAGATCAAGCATTATAAGGATAAAAAATTGATAAAAGAAAAAAAATAGAACTCTATAGTTAGTTGAAATTAAAGTTCTTAAATCTAATGTCAATTAATCACAATGTGATGTTATTAATGAATCTCAATTTACTGGAGATTCTATATACTCTAATGAGTATATAGATAATCTTTATATTATAGATAGGCATAGTGTTGACCATTAATTAATTTTTAAAGATTGGTGATTCTAGAATATTTCAATTACAGTGATATTTTCTTTATAGTGGGGGGCACTCACTAATGGGAGATAGTAAGTGCATGTGGCACAGTTAGTTAATAAGTCAAAGAAAGGATGTCGAGAAACTTCAAGTAATTTTCAATGATTTGTCAACAGAGAAGATACAAACCTGGATGTTTGCATGAAGGAGAATTTTATTTTTCACATTGTGCAGCAAGGTGGCCTGCAAAATGATATCAGTCCTTGACCCAAAAAATGCAGACTCAGAGAATTAACTAAGGCACGGCCGCGATGGTGCTACTTCAAATCATGCAGTTCACCCGAGTGACTCTGGAGCGAAGGGAAATGATTTTCATGGCAGGGTGTGTGAGTAGACTCTGCAACCTTCGTAAGCAAAAGCTAGCATCCGTGTTAATCGGTGGGAATTGAGTTGGAATGTTCCTGACTACCTTCGTCCCCCAACCTTCCCCGTAGAGGAATCTGGGCCATCGTGGCTCAATTACTTAAGTTTAAGAATTGTTTCAGAACAACAGCCGCAGTGCAGGGGTTTTCCTGAACAGCGAGAGGGAGTGGTAACCCGTTCTGGAATGGGAATGAGGCGGCTGGGACAATGATGTGGTAATAAAATGGAGTTTTACTTCAGGATTCAGCAAGCAAAGCTTGCAATTGGCTTCTGCGTGATTAGCCGTATGCGCTCTAACTTTTGTGAATGTAGCTCTTTTAAATGATCTCCTTAAATTTGGCATTCTCGAGGTTATCATTTTCTCATCTGGCGGCCATGGAAGTAGAGCTGGAAATGCTGGAAGGATAACCACCATTGATTCTAAACTTGGGTTGAACTTGGGAGCTGCGAGATGTAACTCTTTTAGCATCTCTGTAGGTTCATAGATCGCATGCTGGCATGTCTTTGAGACGACGCTCAAGGAAATTTGGACGATAACTAACCAGTTAGTTAATAATCGTGCCCCGCGCACCCACACCTGATGTGGGTGCGCCACAGCGTAATGATAAAAACAGTGTAATGATAAAAATATGGATAATTAGAACTTCAAAAATTAATATCTCATCACCACACTGCTAATCTATGATAATTAATTTATCTATATCATCTGTAGTAGCTGTATTATTCATGAGATGTTCATATATATCATTAACCTCTTGTTGAGTTAAATCTGTGGTATTTTTCTTCAAAGCTCTCTTAACATATTTGACTCTCTTATAATGTTCTTTTTCTGCTTTCTTCTCTTTACATTGCACAATCTTTCTATTTACATTTCTGACAGTGAGTATATCTCTCACTTGTATCTGCTGATGTGTATTTTTAGTGCTGCAGTGTTTGATTACAAGATAGTAATTCTCAATCTCATTCTCTCTTATAGTATTGAGATTTGTCTGAACAAGACTACCTTGGAAAATCTTGTTCAATTAATTACTCAGATGAGATGATTTGAAATCAAATATATTCTTTATATCTTGCATTGTCTTCTTTATCACTCAAATATGATGTTGTAGCTTCTTAATTGTCTTGAGTGAGAATAGCTGTGATGAAGCAATATCTAAACAGTTTAATTGTAGCAAAAAGAAGTCTTCTTCATATATTTGCAACTCAGAGTAGTCAGAGATCTTTTAATCTAGCTTAAGCAGTATAAATTGTGAGTTGAATGAGATAATATCACAATTTACAAAGTCAGTTTGAATAATAGAACATTGAAAAGTCTTTTTGCAGACATCAACTAGATTCTGTAGATATTGATGTTTTTCATACTGCTTATATTCATATCATACAGCTTGATTAACTGTCTTTGAATGATAGTGCTTATACTGCTGAAAAGATACATTATCTAGAGATTACAATATATAAGTTGAATGTGAAGAAAATTTATATAGAATAATCTTGTGAAGATCACAGTATTGTAAAAATTCTTTAGTGAGATGAAATTTATAATTGTCAAAAAGTAGCAATTGATAACTGTCTTGCTGATGTTTTTTAGAGATCTCATTAAAGTACTAAATTCATGCAAAGCTAATCTCATCATTGATATAGTGAGTATCTAATGTCATGATTGTATATTCATCTGATAGATTGCTTTGTGTATATCAATCTTCAAATTAAGTTTTGAATTTCATGATGATGAAGAAATTTAATATCTCATCATCTGCTAAAATACACTCAATCACAGTAATTAATTCTCAAGAATATGATGAAGTTATAACTGAATTAAAGTTTTTAAAAGCAGTAATTATCTATTTTCCATGTTCTTAATTCTCTTGAAAGCTAATCTCATTGAAGTTGGAGATATTGCAGATTTGAAATATGTACTTTTGAAGTAAGATTTTCAAATAACCAAATCATATCTTAATGTAGCTAATATTCTCAACAGCAATTCTTTTCAGATTCATTGCCTTTTGCTTAACTCTTTTATACTCATTCAAGCTTTATATATATTGATAGGTTCACATCTTGCTGACCATGAATAAGGAGATTGAAGAATTAGTATAATAATATTTGAGAATGAGATTTACATTATCTTGAATCTGCTCTGCAATCAATGAGCAATTATTTCTATTCATATGAGCTATTCACTATTTTAATACATTCTTCTGACTCTTGCTAAGCTTCTTGTTCAGTGCAGTCTTTGCATTGCATGTTATTCTTTCATTGATTTTTGCTTGAAGACATTGATAAGAAATATTGAATTTACATGTCAAAGATAGAATTTTCTATTTTCAATTGTCATTATAGACTTCAATGACACTCTAAATATATTTTAAAAGATCATTTATCTTATTGATCATGGTAGTGGTGATATATTAATATTTGAAGATTGATTAATGAAGAAGTTGATATTTTTATCATTATGCTGTTTTTATCATTACACTATGGTGCACCCATATCAGATGTGGGTGCGCGGAGGCACAATTAGTTAGTAGTAAATGTAACATAATTCAATCACTCTCAGTCCACCATTTATTAAGTTTACAATCAAATTTCACAATAACTAGTTAAACAGAAAAGAAGCTAATACATTATGAACTATTCTCTATACTAAGAGCATATATATGAGCAGTATGTTCAAGAACCTTATATACAATACATATATTGATTAGGATGCTATATGTTTTCATAAATTGAAGATCATTGCTCACTTTCTCCTCTTTTCTCTTCATTAAATTTATGTACATAATCTCTCTCTTCTTGAACAATCAAACCCGCTTTCTGATTGATATTATGTATAAGTTTTTTTTTGCTTTATCTTTTGTTTGACATTTGCTGTCTTTTTTTCAATCTTCTGACCATTATAATGATAGTACTGTGTATGATTATCTGACATCTCTTAATCATCTAATTTAAAACTTAATTGATTAAACTGAATGAGCTTTGAATAAAGTGCTTGGGATGTTTCGTAAAGTTTTAATTTTTAGCTTTTTTTATCATATGGCTAGCTATGAGACATGACTTGTTAAAGACTTTAAAATCTATAAAAAAAAGTTTTTAAAATATAGAAAGTATATAGATTAACAAGTATATTATAAAGGAAAAAATTAAAAAATAATAAAGTATATTAAATCTACTAAATTAATTGATTAATTAATTAATATTTTGTCTACTTTAGGACCATTTTCTTGAAAATTATATGTATATCCGCTTTAACTTGCGGGTAATTTTCGCGCTTCTGAAGCTTGATCAGCCAACAGGCATCAAGGCGGGTTCATCAGCCATTATCAACTAACATGCTACAAAGGTGAGCCGTCAAGATATCTAACTGCGAAAAAAAGGGGGCTTGGGTGTTGGGCTGTTGCTGTAAATCAGGAGGGACGGATAAACATTAAGGTATATATAACCACGGTTGCCAAGCTGGGCGGAATTGGAGTGGAAGGGACGTAGATTTAAATGATAAGATTGGAACTTCTCTTTCTGCGAACCAGCGACAATGCTAACACCCAGTATCACACATAGGTGATCCTTCACCCAGCGAGAGCAGCAGAATCAGTTGAAGGATAAAAGTTAACCAGCAAAGAGGCAACGTGGGAGTAGACACATGGAATAGATACAGACCTTACGAGCCCGGCGTGTTTCGTGAGCGGCCCACCCATCAGGGTCGACCATCCAGCGGCCAAGCGGTCCCTTCCAAGATATCACAGTGCGACGACTTGGTCCTTCATCCTCGGGGATCAGAGGAGGTGACAGCAGTGATTCGGCAGTGTGCCAGTTTGGGGTGATGAGGCCTGCAGACCAAGAGCGGGGGGTGAGCAATGTCAAGTGTCCAATCGCGTGACACGAAAGCCCTAGTAGCCGCACCCAAAGCCCTAGCCCCAAGCCCTAACTCGCCCGGCCAAAGCCCCTGACCTCGCTGGCCCATAATGAACATAAAGAACTACTGCTCTTATTAAGACTTCTTCACATCTCAAACATGAAGGACTAATTAAAAAAGAGGTGCGGGGGCTTTGAAATGCAGTACCAACGACCGTCTCAATCATTCTGCTCCGTTGGGAGAGGAGGCTGGCTCTTGGGATCCCGCTCACATTGGCTGCGATAACCAATACAATAGTATAATCAGAACTGCACCACCGCTGTTTATCCTATTATGCACCGTCGCAACCTTGTGGTCTGCTCCATAGAGGACTGGGTGAATCCTCCAGCAAAATTACGATCATTCTGGCTTGAGAGCACACTCTGCCTGCCAATCGGGTGGCTGCACCTACAGCATGTCACTCACTTGCACCTTCAAATCCATCATCCAATATTCGAATTTCCGATGGTCTGTTTTCGTCTTACATCAATGAACGGTGCTGTGTTTTCTGTCCAATCCTGTCTGGCGTTTCTCAATGGGCAGTTGTTTTGATGCCCGTTAGATGGAGCCCAGCCCTTCTAAGATATGGGGCGAGGGCTTGTGACTCCCAGTCCCGCCGTGACAGGATAGAAGTATACGCTCGTTGACCGTCTTTTCGTACTTTCACCACATCGATCAAGATATTTAGTGGATATATATCTTCGTGAGCAAGGTGATCTGATCCATTTTATGCTCCCAACCCTGAATCATTTGGAGCCAAAAATAAATTTAACAGGATGGAACAGAAAAAGCAAACAAACAGAGCGCCCGGCATTTTATGGGCTCGTCAACTCCAATCGACCTATCCCTGTTCTTCTTTCTGTATTTTCTTTTTCCATGTCGAGATAGTTCCACTGGCCAAAGGCAAAAAGTGTGATGTGATCCGCCCCCTCAATGCTCATCCTTGACTCTCCGTGCTGGCGCCTCTTGTTGGATGTGGCAGAGCTACACGAGCCGCCAACTACTTTGTTCCCCCCCGCCATCCTTCATCACCGTCATTCGCTGCCAGTCTCCCAGAACGGTCCTCCACTGTCTGATTTTAATTTAGGTGGACAAATAGCAATTCTAGATACATGGTGTTGATTGATACCTGAACTGACTGCATATTCTTAGCGGCCTTTTATCCCTCACGTTTCTCCTTGCTGAGTAAATTGTGCGGGTTCGGACTGCTCATAATTACGTGCCCTGTCAATGATCCCTCACCCATGCGAGTGTACTTCGTAGACATCTCCAACTTTGGCTTCTCCCTCTACAGCTCCTCCACTCCTCTAGACCTCGCACACATTCAGCAGATTTCCTGTGTGAATTTTCCTCCAGGTTTCAAAAACTGTGGCTTTGGTTGTTTCATTTTACTTGTCTGGATAAATTCTCATCTCACTCAGCCGCCTGTCACTCGTCTACTGAATTTAGTCTCGCATACTACGCTGTTTGCACGGCGGTTATTTCGCTGGGCGCCCTGTAGAGTTAAATTTTCAAAAAATAGTTCGACGAACGATAGGGCTGCCATCATTTTTTTGGGTTTGTGACATTTTCCTCCTTGTATACGGTGGCTACCCCTGATTCTGTAACATATCAAATACATATGGTTGCTTGACTATCCCAGTTCCCTTTTCTTCCCAGTTCTTTTCCCACTTATGCACCAGCTGAGATAAAATCATTTACCGTGCGACGAGGGCGCTGACAGTCGTATAGCACCGTCTTCACTGGCGTTCTCATGCTAGTTTGATGTCATAGGACCAGCTCGTTAATCAGAGGGGCGATGTCTACAGGATCAAGATCCGCCTCTGGCGCTCTCGCAGTGAACCAGATAAATACATACGACGATTTTGAACCATGTGCTTCTACTGCTTCGCTGTTTCTTTACGCTCAACGGTCTTCTATCCTATGTCTCCACCATGATACCCTGGCGATCGAGCGACGGTTCGACCGCCATCAGGAAAGAATACAGTTTATATCAGTGGATAATGTTAGCGAAAGAGGTGCAGGAAGGTTGGTAGTCAGCTACGATGCCAGTCAGACAGCAATCGTTTGGGATATATTTACTGGACAAGAGGTATCCCGGTTTGCGTCTTTCGAACATATTCGGGTAGCTACCTGGATGAAGAATGGAAATGTGTCGTTTGGTATGAAACCTTTTCAAGTATTGATTGAGTCGGAAATTTATTGCTGACCGTCAATTAGGAAATGCAAAGGGAGAAATCATCCTCTTTGAGCCGGCAACTTCTGAACATGTGTCTGCTCGCACAATTTTTGACCCCATTACCGCTTTGGCACCGGGAAACGATTGCCGAATTTACGCTATTGGGTATGTTCTCAGAAGGTGTGCGATCTAGATAGATTTACTGATAACGACGACATTTCAGATATAACAATGGCTCAATATTAATCGCTACCATCCAACCATTTACAATATTGCATACGCTCACTACATCCCGGGCCCCCTCCTCGATTGTTTCACTTGCATGGCATGCCTCATCTACCAAGCAAAAATCAGATATGCTTGCGAGTCAGACTGTTAATGGAGATTTACTCGTATGGAGTGTGTCGAAGCATCCCGCCAATGAAACACCTCGGGTTATCAGATCCCTCAAAAGATCCGAATTTGGCTCTCCAGGACCAAAATGGATTGCCTGGTCCAAGAATGGGCGAATTGTTCAGTATGCTGAAGGGTATGACTGTTTATGCCTCTCTTTTAACATCCTCACTGGTCAATCTGCTTACACATTTCAGGGAAACCTGGGCGTGGGATGTGAAAACAAAACATGTAACTTATGAGCCAGTGCCAACCGTGTCAGGGGTGAGAGCCTTGGCGAGTTATGGAGCAACAGCAACCCTGTTCACTCTGGGCCCAAACCATACTGTCCAACAGTATGATCTTGAAAATCCTACTATGGTGGCTAATGTTCAGCATATTCCTCTTACATCCTTAGCCGATCAACCAGGTGAGGTGAAAGTTGAGAAAGTTGAATCAGGACTTACAACCAAAAATTTGGCAGAATACCAGACCACCATTGCCGAGAGACTGGGAAGTCCACCGCCCGGTTCATCAGAGAGACATATTGACCCGAATGCCTTAGAACTTGCCCGCCAGCGAGCTGGGCTAACAAGTCCTTTGTCTAATGGAAGTCAAACCGCTTCGACCGGCTCAGCACATTCTTACAACCGTGGTGTCCGGGGTCCAGTATCAGTACATTCAAGATCCTACAACAGCGGAACCACCTTCTCAATGAGCTCCCCTTCCCCCTCGATCCCAGAATCGCGATCGGTAACATCCTTGAATTATGCTTCTTCACTCTCTACGTCGTCAAGGAGATCATACACTCACGGTTCCTCGCGACTACGTCACGAATATCTTCCAAATTCCAATGGCAGTAACAGTGGTAATTCACTTGAGAAACCGATCACAGAACTTTTCCCCTATATCCGGAGTCGTGTGAACAATGTGCCGTTCCAGCCTCCTCGCCCTCAAAACGATGGCAATTTATCACCCAACGAGTTGAGGAAACAGATGCTGAACGTGGTCTTCGGATGGGAGGGAGATATTGATGGATTAATTCGGGATGAGCGTGGGTGTTTTTCTTTGTGTTATTGTTGATATCTATTTAGCTTCGTTGATCTCTTGCTGATTTCAATTTTGTAGTACGTCGTCATAGCCCTGGAAGTCAGCATGCTATTCTTCTCGCTCGCTGGCTTGGAGAAATCGATCCAACCCTGATAATATCGATGATGGGACCAGGTTCCAGCCAGTATAGTGACTGGATGTTACTTGCGTTAACCCAACTTGGAAACCAGGGTCATAGCAAACACCTCGGGCAAGCACTGGTTCAGAAACTTTTGGCAAAGGGTGACATCCATGCCTCTGCAGCAGTTCTTCTGGGAATGGGAGATAGTAACGACGCCATCGAGGTTTACGTGTCCAGAAATATGTTTATGGAGGCAATTCTTTTGACATGTTTGTTAATGCCCACTGAATGGCAGAGGCAATCATACCTGGTTCGAAAGTGGGGTGAGCATGTGGTTCAGAACTCTCAGCAGCATCTGGCTATTCGGTGCTTTGCTTGCACCGATGCGGAAACATCTGAAGCTTGGGCCTCTCCGACTGCTCAGATGACAACCATTTTATCCGACCAGTTATCCAGGTCCCGCGGTCCAACACCAACGAACGCAGAGGTTTCTATTACTGCTAATGCACCGCGTCCTCCCTCTCGCGGGAATCTAAAAAGCCCTGCCCTGAAGCTCATCACTTCGTTCAGTCCTCACCCGAACGGCCAATTTAAGTTCCCAGGCCTTACATCTGCGGATCGCACACCAACAAATGCTCCTGGAGTTACCCCCATTTCAGATTCCGCGGTTGCAGATCCTACTTCACCCGGGGGATTTGGTACGCATAGATTACCCCTTGGGCGTATTGGCCGAACGGGAACACCAACCAACTTTGCTAAGCACCGGCTGCCATCTATTGGAGAGACTCCTATTGATGTGAATCCTCCCGCGTTCACTGTTCCGAAGGGCTTACCAACACCTGTTGACTCAGGTTCTGATAAGGAGAGGGATGCTAACAACGTAGACCTGACCATTGTACAGCGGCTGGTTGATACCCCAGAACCAGTTTTATTGTCATCTGCTAGATATACCCCTATATCAGAAACCCCAAGGAAGACTCCGACCACGGCTGTTCTCCTCGGTGATGACGATTCCGACGGTGGGCGACCGTTTTCACCTCCAAACACGATCTTTGAGTCACTGAATGTGCAGAATCAAAACAGAACTAAGTCGCGTGAGCGCAAGGGCGGGCGCAAGGCCGAAGGTCTCCATGTTTGGCCACCCCTAGATGTTTTCCCACCTAATGGGCCCGACTCATCAAGCTCCTGTGATGGTTTGCGTCGATCACTATCACAGAATCAGCACCGCGGCCCAACACCGGATAATTATTATAGCTCTGCCTTGTCAACCGCTAGCGCAAGGTCAACAAGAAGTGCGAATGCCAGTATCAGAAGTATCGATCCTTACGTTAGCAGCCTAGACGAAGCTACCTACCGTTCGCAACATCATAGAAGTGGACGTGAAAGGCGAAATACGGACACTGAATATGATATTAAAGGACGCGGCAAGCACGGTTCCCGAGCGCACTCAAAGGAATCTCGGGGAAGAAGTGACCAGCGGTACATACAACCCGCAAAGCGATCACCATCATCGCCTGTCCCAATGTCCCCTGAGGACTTGGCGCTATATTCCACAGCCACTGACACGACTGACACCCAATCAAAACGGAGCTTGGGTCATGGAACCTTCCATAGGAATAGAAGACATACCAAGTCCCGAACTCGATCAGCATCTAGACATGGTGATCGACCTCGCAATCGCTCTGGTTCTTGGGTAGGTGACAAGTCTAGTCGAGTTACAACACGCCTCCAGAGCCCAGACCCCCTGTACAATCCTATTACACCACGAGGCAGGAGTTCGCAAAGGACAGAGGGATCTGGCCCCAAGTCCCCATCTTCACCCCTCCCTATGTCACCATCTGCCGGGGACTACGGTCGTGGCCCTGATGTTGAGGATGGTCTTCGACTGGTTAATGGAGATAGGAATCACCGTATGCGATCAAGGCAACGACGCCAGACTCGTCGTCCGGAACGCGGTACAAGCTCCCGTCGCGACCTATCTCCAGACCGAAGGAGAGAGCGTGAGCGGTCTCAAAGCAGACAGAGTCTAGATTACGCAAACAGTGCACCCAGAGATCTATATGATAGCGGGGATGGCAGTAAAACCCAGCATAGACACGCGTACTCTATTGATAACGAAATGCCCTCTACCGCAGGCTTTGAAAGCCGTCGACAGCCGACACCAATACTATCCGTGGCAGAACGTTCGAGGAAGGAAATAGCAGCTGCTGAATTGGAAGCTCGCCGTCTGTCTCTAGCACGGCGGCCTTCCGCTCCCTCGATTCCACTACCAGGCGACGTCAAGAACAATTTCTCCGTCCGGCAGAATACGGTTGACAGTCCTCCACTCAGTGGGTCTCTCAGCCACAGAATTGGTGGAAAGAACCAATCTCCAGCAAATTCAAGCCCCTCCGATTCCAACCATTCGGGACGCGGGCCTTCGAGTGTTCCAATTGGTCTACCCGCAACTCCAAGGGCAATGAGGCATCCGAAGTACAGCACCGGGTATGCAAATGTCAGCGTACCTGCTTTACCTGAGGTTCCTGGTAATATAGTGACATTAAGTGACACTGTGTATCGGCCAACTGGATTTAACATTTTACGCTCTGCCTCTGCTCCTCCTGAACATCTGGAAATCGTTGGAAAACCACATGGAATTGTGGCACACCCTCATTATCAACATCAAATACCTAGCAGCAAACCAGCTCAGAACTTCTCCCATCGTCGACAGACATCGCAGGATATTGTTTACAATCCATCTAACGGTACCATTAATAATGTAGCGCCACCTCTTCTCCCGGAGCTTCGGCATTTGCAATCGCCTCCCCCACCACCCCCGCCCCCTCCAATGATTAACACGCATGTCCACATGCCACCAATGTACGATGCACGCAGCTCACTTGTTTCCGGTGTCGGTACCATCAATATCGCTATTGATGATCCCGGCAAGATGAACGACCAGGTCCGTCATCTACCAGCGGAGTCCTTGGCCGTGTCGCCGTCAAAAGGTAACGGCGAGGCCTCTCATCGCCGTGGTCGCAGCGTGAATGAAAACTTGACGAGCAAGATTCGAAATTTTACCGACAGAATGCGTAGCACAAGTAGGGGACGCAACACCCAGTCCCCACCTCGGGAACCCGACGTTCCATCTCCATATGAAAGTTTGTCAATACAAAACGTTATAGAAAACCAGATATAGCTTAGTACCCCACCCCTATTCCCGCCCGGCTCGGTCTGATGATAAATACAAAATCACGAATTGACTAGACCACTGGAAAACGAGAGAGGGAAAACACAAATATGTACTTTTTACCTTTCTGATATTTGGGAATTAGCGAGTAGACGGAAATTTGTCATGTTCAAAGATTGGAGAGGCCGTCAACGGCAAAATTTGTTTCTCATATCTTATTTTTTATTTTATTTTATTCTATTCATGTTTATTTCTTTTCCTCATTTTGTGCTGAGCATATTTTTGCGGCAGTGAGGTTTGACAGCCATCAAAGCCTTAACTGCCTGTGTTCTGTAATCTCACAAGGTCTCCCCCAAAACCTTAATATACCCAAAGTTCAGCAGGTTTGTTATTCTACAAATGTTCATCATCAGTTCACAATCATCAAATCTTCCCCAAGCATTACTTGATTTACCTGATATTAACCCCTCTTTCTCGTCTTTTTCTTCCCCCAGTTAGCATTTTTCTTTATTTTATATTCCGTTTATGATGATTATTGATATCTCCCCATTCTTCCCGTTTAATATCAGTTGCATTCCCATATTTCTCGCACCCCTTCCAGCTTTTTCTTCAGTCTTATTCTCAGGGGATCGAAGTATTTATCTGTGGCGTGTTTTGATTGGAAATCCTTTAACGGTTTTTTCTTCTGTTTCTCTCACCAGTAGCCAATCTCCAATTCTCCTGACATCTGTTTAAGAATAATCTCTCCCTTCCTGCAGGTCACATTCCTCCTCCATAACAGTTATAAAGCTATCCGTGCCTCAGAATTTAACAAAAAAAATCCAAATCCAAATCCAATGTGCAAATAATCACCTCTCACTTGCTTGTCCCGCTATGTAGTCGCGTATGGTCTTACGTCTGAGAGAAAAATAATTCGCTGGATTAATCAGTTAAGCAATTCACTGAGAATTAACACTATCCATTTCATTTCAAAACACGGAGGCATTGAAAGGGGCTACAGTTGAATGTAGTTTTGTAGAAGTTGAATGTTTTCAAACCATGATCAACCCTCAACCTCCGCCCTCAACACCAGGGTTAGAGGTAGGATAGGATTAGGTTTTGGGTAGTTAAGGATAAGTGTCAGAGAAATATGATAAATCACTACCCTCAAGACTATATAGATATGTGTGAGATATGACTAGTGTATGTCATTTTAATGAGGAGTGTCATGATCTGTATGTTTAAAACCACATTTAACTTTTACCCGCAGAATAGGAATTCGTAGGACTTCATAATTTATTCAGGTTTATTCTATGTTCCTAATATACATTCAAATACTATGAAGGTATTATACACATAATGTGTAGCACATATGTTTAACTATGTGTCTTGATATAACTTCACAAAGCAGTTCCAACGTGGTACATTCCATCTGTGATTGCATCATATATTATTCAATTCCAATGCTCAATAAATAAATAAAAAAATATAATAAAAAATAAAAAATACATAGCCAAGAAATAATCAAGGGAAATAGTGGAGAGGAGAAATCAACAATCTCAGAAAGAAAACTTAAACTTAGAATAGATATGCATTCGCTATGATCCTCCGCCCCAAATACCGCTTTGTTTATTATAACCATCACCGTCCCCAGCAGTTTGTCTCTCCTTCTCAAGCAAAAGATCAAACTCGTGCTGAGCCTTGTCCTTTTGCTGTTGTGTAGACTCAGCATAGTTATCTTTCCGATTTTGAGGCCATTGCTCTGATTGCGTCTGGAACGGGCTTGAGGAGGGAAACATGGATGACGAACGTATTCGGTCCCATGCGCTCCCGGAAGGCTCAGAGGGTATATCTGAGGATATGTCCTGGTCGTTTGTCGGTGGCGAATTGAACGTGGAACCTTTTCTGTTATTGGATGCGGCCGTAGAGGTGTTTGATGAAGTGCGAAGTCGATCCCATGCGCTGCCAGAGGGTTGCGAGCTAGTGGTTGAACTGGTTGTTGTTGGCGTTGAACTCGAGTTCAGGTCAAAAACATCTTCGGTATCGTTTCTATTAGTAGACTGCATCCCGCTCTCCGTCTGACTGCCTTCTCGATATATGCCCGAACGACTTGGTTGCTGCTGCTGTTGTAGAGAGTCCCATTGCCGAGAATTTGGCTGTTCCGAGATCTGCGAATCTCCTTGAGAGTAGATTCTATTGCTTTCATTCGAAGATGCATATTGGGTGGACGAAGATTGGGAGTCTGTATAACCAGTTGATTCGAAATTTTCCGTCAAACTATCATCATCCTGACCTTGCACTGTTTGTGAGGAATGTGGAAGTGAAATTGGCTGAACACGGCGATCCTTCCATCTAAACTTCTCCAGATTCTTTTGAACCTTCTGTGGATCCTGAATTGCGCGGTCTTTCCGGTATTGGGCTAACCTGGGATCCGTTTTCAGGTCTAACACTGCTAGAGACGCCGCGCCAACCTTTCCGGATGTACTTCCAGCAACAATACAGCACGGCCAAAGCAACGTTCGCATTATTAATGACATATTCACCAAACCTATCATTTGTGATACAGGGATGAGACGACCGTTCTTGAAGAAAGGCTTTGCTACTATAAGGAACCCCACGAAAGTGCCAAGGTACGCCCCAACACGAGGCTTTATGGATAATGATACAGCTTGGTCAACAAAAGAGTCAGTTTCCTGTTGCGTAAGAGGTCTGTTCACAAAAGCCATCCCAATCTCAATATGCTGCTTGATCTGAGAAGCCATATATTCCTCATATGCGGGTTGTGGCCGTAGATATAACAATTGTTTCCCCGGTCCGTAAGGAGGAATCTCAATTCGAGAGGAGAATTGTCGGAGAGAGGAAACAGAGTTTTGCGAAATAGAGTAGCTATCCCCAGAGTCAATTCCTGAGCCATTGAAGCCATCGGTTTGGGATGATGTTTCGTTCAGCACCATATTGGGCTACGATAGTGGTGGTAGTTAAATGCTGCGACCCGAAGAGGGAGAAATAGGTGAGTAACTTTCGAGGTAAATGGACACTCAGAGGGCTAGGGTTCGGATAAAACTCACAAAAGCAAAGTCACTGCTTCTATGTATGGAGCATCTGTTGTGAAATTAATTGTGGTGCTGATTCTGCTGTTCTTGCTGTGGTTTGTCAATTTTTTTAAGGGATTGAAATTCAGATTTTCATTAGTCATCATGATGTAACTAACTAATGTATTTCCCAAGTGAGTGCAACACCCAAGTAAATGCAACATCAAAACCACTAGAGCTTAATTCATTAGATTTTAATTCAAATTATCTCAACACTACAACACTCAATTTAATTAAATTAAATTACATGCAGTTGAGAAAATCTTAATCTTGTATGTCTGAGAATATTACAATTGCTGCAGTGTTGCAGAGCTCATCAGCATGAAGCAGATACAGATAGTAAGAACTTATAAGATTGAATAACTAATTGTTCAACAGATGCTGCAGATGATACAGATGATGCAGATGAAGCTAGAAGACTTTGAACTTCTTCACTAGTTAAACCTTCTACTTCTTGTTGAATTTGTTGTCTAGATCTCTGGCATTTTAGCTTCTCTATCTCATTCATATTGAATATATTCTAATATTACTTTCTTATAATAGTGATACTGATTATTTCAGATTCATAGATTTTGATAATTTGATCAAATTTTTTGCTCTTCTGTAGCGCTCACTACTAGTAATAATCTTAGTAGTAACACAAACTCTCATAGTAAATTCTGCCTTATCAAAGTTGTATATATTTTCTAATAGAATTTTATACTTAGTAATTATATCTCTTAAGATTTTAAATCATTTATATATATTTTACTGATTTTTATACTTGATTTGTTCATAATTATAGCATCTGAAATAGCAGCTTTGAAGCTTTGAACAATGCATCATTAGATTTTACACTTAGTTCTGATTTATATAAAGAGAAAAGATAATAAAGATGATTGAATTCTATATAGTAAGAAGATAATTAGCTGTTTCTTAATCAATACTAACTGTGAGAAGAATTTTTATTTAGTTTAATTTAGTACTTTTTCAATTAGCTTATTTTCTTCAGCAGAAGATAATTTGTATGAATTTATATATAAATTTATTTATGATTATCAGTCATTCAGTTATTAGATTAAAGTAGAATAAGAGATATTAAATAAGTAAGTAGCTTTATAAATTGAAGTAATTTCTTAAATTTTAAAAGTTTTTATCATGAGCTCAAGTCTTTTCTCTTTTTCTAGAGAATTTAAAGTATTTTTATAATAAATTGATGATATAATTATATGTTGAAGTGGAAGAATAGTCAAATTAAAAGATATTTTGAATTGATGTTACACTTGCTTAGATGTTATACTTACTTAGAAAATATGTTAACTCTTCAATTCTCAATACTCTGGAGGTTCAAAGCTTAAGTTTTAAAAGCTGGGAAGTGTGCAAATTGTTCAAAGAAATGACATTTTGTTTGTACAAAGATGCTGCTAGAATAGAAGCAATAAATTAAATTAGACAATGAGGAATTCATCTAGCATTCAGCTTATAGATAATTTCCCACCTACTTCGCAGTGTATACAGTCCAAAGTGTAGATATTGAAATGAATTAACTAAGAAAATGGACAATCGGATTACCATTTCTCGGCATACGGCCGTAAATCTAATTCATGGGTAAAGGTTGTTCTCGGCTGGGTATGCAGGAACCAATACGTATCCGCGATCTATGGGCAAAAGGGGAAGATCAGTTAAAGTAATTTTACTAGAGGTTAAGACCCGACTTGCTCTTCTTCTTCTGCACTTCTGTTGCTTTCTCTTCGGTAGCTATTTTACGGCACTGCATTTAGTTTTATGAGATGAATCCAAACTGACCGAATGAGGGCTCAATTTTGCGTCTGGAGAATCAAACTGGAAACCTTTCGTGCGTTCAATATCAATAATGCCGTCGATAATGGCATGGCTAACGTGAATTCCCTGGGGGCCAAATTCCCTTGCTAAAGACTGGGACAAAGCACGGAGTGCAGATTTCCCTGTCGCAAAAGAGGAACAAAAGGCAGATCCTTTGACACTCGCAGTGGCACCTGGCCACATATCAGCCACCTTTTCCATGTCAATTTGGCGGGGGGATATGGTTTAATTTACCAGTAAAAATGAGTGTGGGAGGATACTCTAGATCCAGCGACTTTAGAAGTAAAGGGAGGGCTGATTGACAGAAATTGAACGCTCCTTTGCTTTCAATCATTCAATCACCGGTAGGGTGCCATGATATTAGTTTCTTGATCAGGATATGCATACGCGGGAGGTTTTTTTTAAATTTTTTTTATATAAAGCCTCCCCAAAGACTGGCTGGTTAACATGGGTACAGGGGAGCAAAACACAAAGTTGAAGTAAAACATATAGGCGGAGAGGGCGCATACGCATTGCTCTCGAAACCAGCCATGAATTCCTCTTCTGAAAGGTCAAGAAATGCACTCCGCACGAACCCTCCACCAACGTTATATATCGCGGCAGCAAGTGGCGCTCCGGGGAACGCTCGTGCTATTTCTGTGAAGGCATTTTTAACGCTCGCATCACTTGTGACATCTGTATTTATACCAATAGCATTCCCGCCGATACTGCATATCTCTTGGATGAGAGTCTGGTAACTAGTTGGATTCCGGGCCAGAAGCGCCACAGAATACTGTTGGGCAAATTTGCGCGCGATTGAAGCTCCCTACCGAGTCACATGGTGTGGTTCGATTTAGACTAGTAAATAATGAAGAGCTACAAGTATAAGGAGTTATGGAGAATGATCCAGCTTACAGTACCAGCGCCCACGCCAGCGATGACTGCGATTGATTTCGTTGCCATAACAAGTGCAATGAAGTCGCTAGATGCTATTTTTCGGCGCGCGAAATAGCAAAGGCAATACTTATGATAATGAAATGGCAAAAAGACACCCTACAGGAAACTCTAAAGGAAAAAAAACAGTTCCCATGCTTTACATTTGTAGGTGGCTATTTTGCGCTTTTCAGTTCGCTCGGGCGAGAAACACTGTCGTCATTCATCCCGACCTAGTTGTTTAGCTTTTCCTAGTGGCGTTGAAATCGTCAAGGAAACTATCAATGAGGGTCTGTGTCACGTGGCTGCTGGTAGCATTAGTTCATCTTTACCCTTCAAATAACGTACTTAACTACCGAGCTGCAGATTCCGTCAAACGTCTGAGATAGCCGATATACGGAGATATCCTATACGGAACTTAGATAGGGAGATGATGTACGGAATAGGAAGGAGGTGAAGCCAAAATAGGTAATCCTCTGTGAGGCAGAATAGTGATCATTATCACTCTATTTTATAGAGGTTCAAGATGACTGATATTCTTATGCTGATACCGCCGCTCATTCTATATACAAATCTAGCCCACAAGAGCAACTACACGGAGGTCCCTTTCAAAAGTTTCTTCCTGCCAAGGCGCCATATAACGCCATGAAACCTTAATTCTGCAGAACCATACTAATCATTAATATATAAAAAATCAAACACTTTGATATAACTTATTTTGAAAGAATTTAACATTTCTGTCGTTACAATATGGAGAATTCTAAGGACTGCTGGATTTCAGAAGACAAAGTCAACAAAAAAATCTAAATTAACTAAGAAAATGAGATAGTAACCGCTTTAATTCTGTCTTAAATATAAAGATTAAACTTTTAAAAATTGAACTTTTGAAGATTGAAAATTAATTATTTGATCTAATGAAACCTTTATTTTTCTTCTTTATTAACATGGTGGATATCAAATACAGTAAATCAAAGAAGAGGTTTTTTTATGAAGCTGTATTCAGAAATAGTAGAAGAGTTCTTCTGAGATAATATTTTAAAGATTTTTTTTTATGATATTAAAGAGCTCTGTTATTATTAACTTTCTAAAACTACTTTAGAAAAGACTAAATCTCTAAAAATTATTGTATGGAGATATATGACTAATAGTTTTATTAGAATTAGCAACTTTTTTAAGCTCAATCTTATAGTTTACTTCTTTCTGAAAAAGTAGTAATTGATTAAAAACAGCTTTTAAAAAGATATTATAGAACTTTTTATAGTTCTTTAATAGCCATTCATTAACTATCTCTTCATTCTTCAATTTTATATTAATAATATTTTTTTCAATGATTCAGTCTATTTTATAAAAATTTGAAATAAAGATCTCTATGTAAAGGGTTAAGCTCTAAGAACTAGAGGCTAGTCCTCCTATATAACAAGGTGTAAAGGGTTAAGCTCTAAGAACTAGAGGCTAGTCCTCCTATATAACAAGGACGAATTGCTTGAGAAAGGGAAGAAAAGAATGAGACGAGAACTCGAGCTTAAGCAAGCTCGCGTAGCATGATCACGTGCGCACGTGCAAACGATGGCTAGGCTGAGTCAGCCAGCCAGAGCGAATCTAGAGGTTCAACCCCTTATACTCTAACTTCTAACTTTTCTAATAATGATAAAAAGCAATATCTTTAATAAATATTATCTTTGATAAAGTCTTGAGAGTCAACTTTTTTCTCTCAACAACTTCACATTTCACTTTGTTATTTATAAGTTTATTCTCATGATCAGTATTTTATTGATACTTTAATGTTATCATTAATCTCTTTATTTTTTTTAAAAAAATTATTTTACTATACTTTTCAGAGATGTTATCTTTAGATATATATTTATTTAATTCAATTATATGTTAATTTTTTAAGTCTAGTTATATCTTCTGCTTTATTAGTAAAAACTATTATAGAATTATATTAGTACTTCTTAGATCTATCAATAATATTAATATATTGAGAAATATTTATTCATTTACTTATAAATATAGAGAGATAATCTCTATAATTAAAGTTTCTCTTTGATTATTAAAACTTATAATTTGATAGTCTTTCTTCAGTCTATTAAAGTTTACTCTTAAAGCTTTAATACACTAGTACATAAAGATTATATTGATAAAAATATAGTAACTAAAAGTCAACTATAAATTTAACCTTTTTATTTAAAGAACTACATGAGAAAAGAGTATAAAATTACTTTATTAATTCAGAAAATGCATTAAGATCAAATCAAAAAGTTATTCAATTTAATATATAATTATATAAGAATAATATAGTTGAGAATCTATTATTATCTAATCAATACAACTTTAAAAAAGTTCAATAGACAGATATCATAAATTATATAATAGAAGAATCTTGAGAGAAAAAAATTAAAAAAAGCTTTTATGAGATATTAATGCTAAATTATCAGAATTTATATTAGAGAATAAAATAGTGTTAATAACTAATATTATATTTTTAAGTATTAAAGATAATATATTCAAAAAATATCAATCAAATTACTAAAAATTCTGGTGGTCTGAAACTCTGATTGATAAATACAAAGAACTAGCTATAGTTAAAAAAGATTTGGAAAAAAAATAATATCTGTGAACATATATGAAGATATTAAAAATAACTACTTTTCTAGTATTAAAAGAGTAAAAACTAAATACTGAAATGATTTTTTTAAAAACGCAAAAAATAATGATATTTTTAAAGCTTTTAACTACACTAAATCTAGAAGAGTAGTAAAGCTTTTTATATTAAAACGTAAATATCAAAATTAAAATTATACTACTAATATATTTCAAGAAAAATATCAAGTATTTATAAAAGTTTTATTTTCAAAGTCAATAAATACATTTCTATAAATAAATATTATAATGATAGAACAAAGTAAAAATAATCTAACTTAAGAAAAGATGAGCTAAAAATAACTATTTTTACTAGTTTTACTAAAACAGCTGCTGAACTTAACTCTATAATCACTATATAATATAAAAAGTATACTTTAAGCAAAAAGAAGAACTTTTTACATTATTCTTTTTTTTAATAAAATGTAAATATTATTTAATATGCTGGAGAGAGGCAATAAAGATTATTCTAGTAAAGTCTAATAAAAAATCATTAATTTTTAAATTCTATAAAGTTATATCTCTATTGAATTGTTTAGAAAAGATTTTAAAAATAATTTATTAGTTTTAAACTTTCTTTTCTAGTCACTAATACTGATTTACTGTATAATAATTAAATGAGTGGTAGAAAATAAAATTCAACTATAGATGCAGTTCTATCAGCTATTCATGATATTCAAATAGCTAAAAATAATAATTTAATCTCAACTACTTTTTTCATTGATATAAAAGATATTTTTGATTATGATTTAAAAAAGAAAATAATTTTAATTATACAAGAGCTAAAGCTATCAGAGTCTCTAGTAAAATAAATCATCTATTTTATAATATAAAGAAGTATTTAACTTCTCTTTTATGCAATAAAGTAGAAAAAAACCTTTATTGAAATAGAATTTTTTAAAAATCTTTAGTTTTATCTATTTTTTTTACTATATATATATCTAGTTTATTAAAAAATAAAAGTATATATATAGTAAAAACATTTAGTTATATTGATAATATTGATTTTATTACTAGTTCTAAATTTATATAAGAAAATTGTAAATATATAAAGAGAGCTATAAAGAAAATATTTGAAAAAAAGTAAAAATATTCTTCAATTTGATATAGATAAAACTAAATTAATTTATTTTTCTTTTAAAAAAAATAAAAAAAAGCTATTACTCTTCAAGATAAAGTTATAAAATTAAAAACTTCTATAAGATAATTGGAATAGAATTAAACTCCAAGCTCAACTTTAAAGTTCATATTCAAAAAAGAATTGCTCAGACTGAGAGAACTCTGAATAATATTATTAGATTTTCTAATACAGAAATGATTTATTTTTTCAAGCTATAGAATAATTATATATAGATTATATAGGTTTTGTATCAGATTATACAATAGAAATTTGATGAAAAGAGTAAAAAAACTTTATATATTAATTTTAACTATTACAAAATAAAGTTTTAAGAAGAATTTTATAATTTTTTAAAATATCTTCAATTAGAGCTATAAAAATAGAGATATCAATTTTATCATTAGCTATTAAATTTAATAAAAGTTATATAAATTATACTCTAAGAATTATAAAAATATATATAAATCATTCAATTTAAATAAAAGTATCTACTTTATATTTCTCAGATATATCTGAACAAGACTTAAATAGAATAAGATTTTTAGATTGAAATAAATACTTTAGTAACTTAATAAAGATATTACCTTCTTAGCTATGTAGAATATATACTATGATTAATGATCAATTATCAAGCTTAAATATAGTAAGTATAAATCACAAGAAGCTCTATTCTTAAAAGAAAAATCTATGATCATTAATAGATATTACTATTAGTGAACTGTTAAAAGAAGAGAAAAAACTATATATACTTAAAAACTTATAGAGATAAATAAAAAGAGCTTATTACTGATATACTTAGATAATTTAAAAAGTAAATAAAAATAGTTAAGAGCTAATATAGTAGTTAATATTCTGAGTTAGATTCAGAATATAAGATATTTTAATAAAAACTAGAAAAAAAGTATAAAATTTTTAATACTAAATTATTTACAATTTAAAAATTTTTTATAATAATTTATAAAATAATCTCTTAAAAAGTAAATATTAATAATATTTAAAATATTCTTAAATAGTTAAACAGTAATTAAAAAACTTCAGAAATATAAAATTTAAAATAAATAAATAAGTTTTAAATTAATTTAAGGAATAATAGAGAAAATTAAGATTATAAATAAAATATTTAAATTTATTTATCTTAGATACTTACTTATATAGATACTTTAAAAAATTAAAAAGTATATTTAGTAGCAATAATTGAAACTAAAACTTAAAAAGTAATTTAAAAAATTATATTCTGATCATATATTAAAAAAAAAATTAAAAAATTATA